CAGAGAAGTTTGGCTGGGAAATAATCTTTAAGGGGTTAGAGTATATAAATGTCCTGTTACATACATAACACCGCGTGTAGCATATTTACAAAACTTTTATTGAATGTTTCTTGTAAATATATTAAAATTCACAAGAAAACAACACAACCTTTTGACATGAATTAAAATAAGTGAAATGTTTATTGAAACTATACAAATCGGACTTTAGAAATAATTATTATTCTCTGAAGTACCCGTTCAATGCACGGGGAAGACACAGGTTAGTAACATAGAAAGGTCAGATTTGAACGCCATCTCCATGTCACTCTCCAGCGGTCCTAAGGAAATATGCCAAGTTTGGTAACTATAGATCCTACGATTTACCAGCCTTAAAGTACACACATACGCACACCTATAATTCATCAAAGAACTAGATAAAAATTAGCAAGCAAAATGGTATGTGACATGTTTGCTTGAGAAGGGAAGGCTTTAGCTGACCATTGTTAAAAGAGGCATTGAACACAGAAATAACTAAGTAATCTCGTAAATAAAACTTTCTTGGCTCACAAAACATAAATTTGTAATTATTTGTAATATTACATGAAGGAACTTTGAGTTTATTTGGAATATGAGACTATAATCAAGGCTTTCTCGTTTTAAGTTTTCTGAGAGTCACTTTTTGATGATAAGTACTATAGGAAATACCACTGTGGTCACAAGAATTTAAACATTTAGAAACAGGAAGGTCAGTGAAGCCTATCCACACAGATCTAAAGTGTTGGTGAAATCGATCACCGAGCCTCCGTTTCTCCAATATATAGTTTGTTAAATCTTCTGTACTGGATATAGTAAATGATGCATTTTTACGTACAAGTGTAATGTCTTCTAACATGGAATTTGGACCAGTTTGTGTAGTGTCATTTGCAACGGCTGGGCAGTTATAACAATTATTTCTATTACACTGATGAGTTCAAGTAACAAGAAAATTGTTATTTTGTAGCTACGATTGTACTAAATGATATTTAAGTTTTTCGTTAAATCTCTAACAGATGAATATCCTTGTGAGACGAAGGTAAATTTACGGGCTTTCAACGCTAAGTTTGATTCTCCGTGGTAGACAAAAGTGCTGATAGACCATTGTATAGCTTTGCGCTAAAAATGATAATAAAAAAACAGTTATAACAGGTAACAGATCAAACGAGTTGTAGTGAATATTTCAACTTTTGTGGAGTCACTGATGGGTAAATTTGTAACTAACTTATTAAGGGGATGGTATGTTAATATCAAAGGGATTCCGTCAGTTTGATATTTTACTTTGGATTGGATAGCGTCAGTGTCTCTCTATGTGTGATATTCCGAGTATGTGGTTTGGTTTGTTTGTTTTTATGGCGTCAACAGGGTAGCGTGCTATTTTGGAAGCCATTCGTTAAGATCTTAGTCTTCAGACCATAAATGTTCTTGTGAATTGTCCCTTAAAAATGTTGTTCTTTGTCAAAACGAGCACATCGTCTCATCTTCTATGTAAACACAAAAATACCTCACGAAATTAAAAGGAAACTTATTTTTAAGTTGTTTTTAACTTTTTTACGTCAATTAAGATCACCCCTCCTACTCTGGTGGCTCAACGGTAAGTATGAGGACTTGTAACGTTAAAAACCGGGTTTAGATACCAGCGGTGGGAACAGCACAAATAGTCAGTTGTGTAGCTTTGCGCCTCATAACAAACAAAAAATGAAGCCTTTTCCGAGATCAGGTTACTTAACAGTTTTTTCTATGTTCAAAATCTGTTTAAACAAAGCCTCGATGAAAGACTTTCCCTCGCAAGGAAATGCGTTACAGGCAATCTCATTTGTCTATATTTTCCAATTATGTGCTGAATTATACGTATTAGTGTCAGTATATATATATGTATGTGTGTGTTTGTGTATTCATCTAAATCATTCTTTGACAAAAGTTCATGTGTATTCATATTTATATATGTGTTTATTCATAATTATTATTTTTTAAATCCAATTTCTGTAGTTTCGATAATCATACAATCAGTTTTGATTTCCATCAAAATATTGTGACGTGTTTTATAGGAATTTTAATATAATTAGAAGAAGTATTTTAATAATATTTATTTTCAACATTTTACTAAATTTGCTTCACGGAACTACATTTACAACATTTATATATCCTAAGCCTCAAAGACTCGTTCCTAGCCTAAATTGTTTGTAACGCGGTATATACTTCCCCGAAATGTTGGAAAAGTTGGGTTTACAATTAGACGTATGTGTTAATTTATTTATCTATCTACATTTCCTTTTTTTATGCTATTGCCCCTTTAGGACGCCAGTCCTACTCCCGGATACTCACCTCTAAAAAAATTTGGGGGTGTGAGAAACACCATACGAAACTACTAATGTGACGGTCAATCCCACTATTCGTTGGTAAAAGAGTAGCCCAAGAGTTGGCGGTGGGTGGTGATGACTAGCTGCCTTCCCTCTAGTCTTACACTGCTAAATTAGGGACGGCTAGCGCAGATATTCCTCGTGTAGCTTTACGCGAAATTCAAAAACAAACAAACAAACTTTCCTTCAGTTGTTAATATTGAAAACTTGATATTTCTTCCTGTTTAGTGTTTCATGTGTGTCTGAACGTCTGCTTGATGAAACACATGATTAAAAATAATTAAAGCAGAGAGAATATTAGTCTTTTTGTGAAACTATGTATCAAGATAGAAACTGACTCGGATATTTGTTTCAGGTGACAAACACTACACGTGCTATCAAACAGAAACTAATGATATTAATCCTGGACGTTTCTTGTTGTATCTTCTCTTGTTCAGAAGTTCCTACAGAAAAATATATATTTTCTTTCACTAGTCTAGGCCTATAGAGCTCAACAGTTCTTATGAGAAGATGACCAGCATATAGAGAGAATCAAGATGTAGTTTGTATAGCACTTAAATAAAGAAGAAGTGTGAAAAGTGGCGGAAAATTAAATCTACTGCTACTGTACAATATTTGTTATCGAAGTATACACAAGTCACGTACACAATATATTATTATGCAACGCTTTGTTAACAGCAGTCTCATAAAAAAAATTCATATATTCAATATTTTGTTTGCTCTCAGCTTATTTGTTTTCCTATATTCTTAATCAGTTGGAGTCCTTTAATTGATATATATCCATAATAAAATTCTTATATATACACTACAAACTGTTTTTTCTCTTCTTTATTGAGAAAATCCTTGATTTTTTTCGGTTTTTTCTCTTCTTTATTGTTTTCTGCCGGTTTTGTGGTTTCGAAAGTTACTTTTCAGGATGTAAATTTACAGTGATTTGTTATTTATATTCGCAGATGGAAACTTGCATGTGCTTTGGTTGTGTGTGAATATATATTATTTTATTCTTTAGAGTTCTTGTCAGACATACTTACTATATTATGACATTATAACAGAAACCCGCAAAACATTTCCGGCCAAATTAGTATCTTTATCGTAACTGTACTTCTTTAAATATAACATTTCCAGCACAATACAAACAAATTGTAATCGTAGTCAACGAAATGTGTAAATCTACTTATATATAGGCCGTACTTTATAAAACTTTAACTTGTGTTAGGCCTAAGTTCGATAAAGAGATAAATTAACACTGTAATCTGTGTACTTTTTTTTTTACTTT